TTTTGCTCAGAAAACAAGCGTTCTAACCACTCTGCCACGTTCTTTTTTTTTACTATCGGATTCCATAATGTGTATATCCGAGTCTATGTTTAATTACGCTTTTTTCCATGGGTCGTCCTTGGTATGACAATAAACTACATCTGGCAGTAAGGGGCTGGAGGTGTTGCGGAGCGTGGAACTACCTCTTAATTGCTGTTGTTTCTAGGTTCCTCCTAGTGGTAGCACCTGTTAGGGTCTTAGCTATGGGGGAAATAGTGATCACCCAAACTAGGGTCGAAACACTATGAAAATATAAAAATACATTTTTATAGTAAAAATACCCTAATAAATTTTTGTAAAAAAAAAATATTACCAGCAATACATTTTTGTAAAAAAATAAAAATAAAATAAAATAAAATAAAAATCTAGCAATACATTTTTGTAAAAAATTAAAAATAAAATAAAATAAAAATCCAGCAATACATTTTTGTAAAAAAAATTTACAACGCTCCCAAGAAAATTAAATTTCGGCATTAAATGACCCATAAGTAATTGATATGCCGCTAAACAAACAAATTGTCCATGTGAGAGTGGTTTTAAAAATAATTAGTCATGGCCTCGTCAATAAGTGATTAACTGGGGCAAGGAATGGCTTGTAAGTTTTAACGCCTTTAAAACAAAACACCTATCATTTTAATCACCATAGAGAATCTTTTCAGCTCCTCATCAACATGGCTGATGCTAACCTCCAGGAGAACAATTCTTTCCGCCTTCTTTGGCTCACATTTTCCACTGACATAAGGTGCAATGATTATATTAAATCAATTGCTAGTTCGACTGCTAGGAGTTGCATATTCTTCCCTGTTGGAAGAATGTGGAAGAATATGAAAGAATGTTGGTGGGGGTTGGTTGTTTTCATCTCGTCTGGTCGGTGATCCATGGTGGCTTTAGTTCGGAGATAAAAGAGAACTTCAACAAAAGGGATTTTAAACCAGTGGGGTCATTCTATTACCCCACCACTACCACCACCACTGGGAAGCAAGTTTCCCGAGACATGAAAGAACCACGTCTATTGTGTATGACGTGTAAAACTTAACTCCTTGAAACCCCTTTCTATTTCTAACAATCCCGTGCTAGTTTTAGCAAATCAAAAACGACTTTCTCTGTTTTCCTGTATCTGACCTCAAAGGTCAAAATGATGAGGCCAGAAGAAAGTACAATTCTCTAAAAATTATTAGTCTCACTACTCATTAATAATGGTCAAATAGACTAGCCTCGTATAAAGGTTAGGTGAGATTGGTTGGTTTTATGACATATCAACGCTTGTTGGGTTATTTAATATCAAAGGTTGTATGGGTTACCCAGTGAGGATCGAACTCACTACTCAGTTGTAATGGCCACCCACACTAGACTCGCCACTACTCACTACTACTCAACTTCCAAGACCACCTAGAGGTGTATGGGACAACAGTTCTCAAGTCTCGTACACACCCTAGGCATTATGGAGCAATTGTTCTCAAGTCCCGTAGACTCCCTGGGGAGCAACTGTTTTCAAATCTCTTTGGGACACTGAAGAGTATGGCCGACACAGCTCTCATGCTAGGCGTTGCTTCTGTGCTTCCTATAGCAAGTCCGTTTATGAATTCAATGTTGCCCTTTTGAGGTAAGAAGAAATGGATTCATACCACGGGGTATTTGCGTTTAAGTGAATGTAACAAACCCGATTGGAATTAGTACACGACTCTCCGATTTCTCATTTTCAGCCGCTATCTATTGTACCCCAGAATAAGGTCGGATATTTCAACCCTTTTTGGGTTTAGTTAATATCGAAATCTGTTCATCATTATTATTATTATTATGAATTGGAGTCTGCAGGTAAAATCGGTCCTGTTTATATTTGTTCTATAGGAGATAATTAGGTTTATACTTGATTCTATTAGTACTGGTAGGTAAACTTTGGTTGAGTTTATACTTAAGACTATTATCTTCAGATATTAAATGCATGTCAATCGTTATATTCTGTCTTCTTAATTCCTGTTCTTTTATTGTCTTCTCTTTTTAACAATCTTTTTCTCATATTCTTTCACAATCAATAACCCCCCACCCTTGAGATTTAGTTGCTTTATTACATTGCTTAGGTTGAAAAGATTAAAAAAGGGGATATATATATTGGTCGTATTTATGCTTGGGTCTATAGGAAAACATTGGTCGTTCGTACCCGAGTTCGAAAGCAACCATCCGTTAGGTGGCCTCATTTTTTCGGGTGGGGTGTTTCCATGGAATTTGTATCTTTCAACTGATTTTTGTTTTTATTCTGAAGAATTTGTTTCTTTTTTTGTCTTTGCAGCCAGTTTGGAGAATAATAAAGATATTTCTGACAACAAGTCATTAAAAAGCGACGTGAGTATTTGATGATTTTTCTTCAATCTCCTTTTTTTTTCATTTCCAGCAGAGCCAATTTTAACAAAATGCCGAAGCTGCAAAGCAGCCGATCCTTCAAATAAAGAACCTTTTTGGTGGATTCTTCTGAAATCATCGATAGCAATGAAGCAAATTATGGAGTTACTTCTTTTCATATATCTAATTTACAAATGCCTTTTATTTATTTTTTTAAATTTATAGCCAAGCTTGGATCGACTGTGCAGGTCCAGAACCCGTCTGTTCGGGCAGAGCAATTTTTTTATAGCTAATAGAAATGCTGAAAAGTTATCAGCCAAACTAACTTTCATAAAATCACCACAGAGAACCTTTTCTACCTGCCATCAGCATGGCTGATGCTAGACAACACACTGAGCCTTCTTAGCCTCACGTTTTCCTCTGACAGGAGCAACTATATCAATTCAACAGCTTCTTCTTCTGCAAGGTTAGTAGGGTCATTTCGTCGTGATAGGTGCCGACGATTTGTTACGAGAGAAAAATGTATCTTTTAAAAAGAAAAAAAGCCACAAAAGATTTTATTATAATGTGGATGTTTATGTATATTTTATTCTTTATATATCGCTACACAGGTTTCGGTCTTATGACCTTCTTCAGGCGGAGAATGGTTGGTTTGGTTTGGTTTACAGCATATCAACCTCAATGGGTTATTTAATGCCGACAAGATTTTTATTACTGGTAATATTTTTTCTTCAAAAATGTATTGCTGGTAATATTTTTTTTTTCAAAAAATGTATTGCTGGTAATATTTTTTTATTCAAAATATCTATGGCTGGCAATAATATATTGCTGGTAATAATTTTTTCTTCAAAAAATCATTGCTGGTAATAAATTTTACAAGAATATATTGCTGGTATTAAAACCTATTTTTACACTTTCATAGTGTTTTGACCCGTTTGGGGCTTAACTATTTGCCCATAATGAGGACCCTAACTGGTGCTACCACCCCGGACGAGGGTGGACCTGGAAACGCCACCAATTAAGAGGTGCTTCCAAGCTCCTCAAAACCTCTTGATCAGAGGCCATGCTGATTGATGTAGTTTATCGTCTTACCCAGGACGCGGATGTAATTTATCGTCTTACCCAGGACGGCGCGGAGAATGCTTCGTTCCAGATATTTTTTAAAGGAATGAAATTTTCTTCCTATGTTAAACCTAATTGTCTTTTGTGTGTAGTAGTAATCATTTACATTATAATCAAAAACGTTCGCGGATTTTTCTCTCTCTTATATATATAAGTGCACGCTGAAGTCAACACCCACAGTCTGTTTCATGCTAAACACAATCGTCAGGCCATAGGGACTGACGATTGTTTTAGCATGAAACAGACTGTCACTCTGGGTGTTGCCTTCAATGTACACTTTTATATTTAAATACGCTCTATCCATGACATTGTATTATTATATATATATATATATATATATATATATATATATATATATATATATATATATATATATATATATGAATAAAATGATTATATATATATATATATATATATATATATATATTCAACGATCACACACACATATATATATATATATATATATATATATATATATATATATATATATATATATTTAAACGATATTTTTAAAAAAACACTCATTTTCTTTTCTTTTTTTAGTCTTGACGAAAATAGCTTGGGAAAAATAATATAAGATTTAATTATTTTTAACACGCACAAACACATTTTTGTCTTCGATCTGGTGAAGCCATATAGGTAAAATGCATTATTGGATATGATTTTCGAAAAATAGTTTCATAAACGTTTTCCCAAATACCAATAACTTATAACTAAGTCGGAATTACACACCCAAAGTTATTGCACACACACACACACACACACACACACACACACACACATATATATACATATATATATATATATATATATATATATATATATATATATATATATATACTAACACTTCGCTCTTCATTAATGAATAGAGCACTCTGGCTGTCGGGCGTTTCTTTATGTTTGTAAAAACATTACGCTAGAATTATTTTTCTCTGTCGCAGCGCCGGTAGCTTGTGGGTAGAAACTCCAACTGATACCAAACCGGTCGGGTTTCGATCTTGGCTTGAAGCATTCAGTTGTCTAGTTGCACTGATGAGCTGTGATACAACGAGACTGACTTGTATGCGAGTGACATTATATATAGCTTTGTTTTTCGTTACATTATTATTTCTTCTGTGGAAAGTACTTTTTAAAATGTTATTCTCTTGTGAGTTTGACTACAAATATGAATGATTCAGATTTAACTTTAGAAATCCATATATTTAAAGAAAAATGTCCTAACGCCTCACCAAGACAATTGTCAACAATTCTACCTTCTACAGTTTTTTTTATACCTTACCTTACTCAAAATCCTGGATTCGTGGGACTTGGTCAAAAATATTCTATTCTCATGAACCCATTTGTGAACGAACTGAGATATATATAAGTAGAAAGAGCTATATAAATAGACTTAGACAGCTGTGTGAAGATGCCTATATATTTAGATACTCATAAATGTGAGCATACTGATAGAAGGAGACAGACAGACAGTTATGTGAACTGTCAGAGATAAAGGCGAAAAGCTATGTGAACACTACGATACATAGAGAGACAACTATGTTAACCGGGTTAGACAAAGTGAACCAGTTATGTCGACAGACTAAGAGAGGACACAGGAGAGAGATAGAGAGAGATTTATCTGGATAGATTGAGAGAGTTTATAATAGAGAGAGGTAGTTATGTGAACCGACTTAGAAAAGGTGCAAGAGAGATAGAGGGAGAGAGAGAGATGCAGTCATGTAGATAGACTAAGAGAGGATACAAGAGAAAGAGAGAGATCTACGTGGTTAGATTGAGAGAGTGTATGATAGAGAGAGGCAATGAACCGATTGAGAGAGGGTGCAATAGAGAGAGAGATTTATGTGAATTGACTGAGAGAGGATACAATAGAGAGATATGTGTGAATAGAGAGAGGGTGCAGTAGAGAGAGACAGCTATATCGACAGATTTAGAGAGGAGACAAGAGAGAGAGAGATTTATGTGAATAGATTGAGAGAGTCTATAATAGAGAGAGCAAGTTATGTGTAGCGACTGAAAGGGGGTGCAATCGAGAGAGAGATATATGTGAATAGACTGAGAGAGGGTGTAAGAGATAGCAATAGAGGGCGAAAGAGTTATGTGAACTAACTGAGAGATGGTGCAATGTGGATAGACTGAAATAGGGTTCAATGGAGAGAGATTTATATATGGATAGACTGAGAGATACAACAGAGAAAGAGAGATGGCTGTATGGATACTGAGAGAGAGAAGGAGATAGTGAGTGAGTGAGTGAGTGAGTGAGTGAGTGAGTGAGTGAGTGAGTGAGTGAGTGAGTGACAGACAATTATGTGAGCGAAGCGAAGGAATCTGACGTAGAAACACCAAAGTGTGTTTCTAAACTATTACTTAATATCAGTCCTTCTATATGACAATGAATGATGGACAATCTCCCCACAGATGAAAAGAAACTTGAAGCAACAGAAATGTGATTCTACATAGAGATACCTCAGTATCTCTATGTAGAACCACATTTCTCCACATCGCATGGAATGAAAGTGAGCAAAATCTTGTGGGATTTCAACGTCCTGACAGCGCTATCAAACCAGACATCACCGTCGTTGAGAAAGAAACAAGAAATGACCTCTTCATTGACGTGGCCGTTCTTTGACAACATGCCTTGCAAAGAAACAAAAATATTTCCTTTGAAACAAAGAAAAGTGTATTGAATTGAAAGATAATATCAGTCATAATGTATGGCAAGTAATGCTGGACTAGGGTTGGCGCATCTTACTCCCGAAACGCCTGACATTTGACCTGCATTTTGGGGGGCCCCGTTGTGGCCTCTGCTATTTTTTCAGCACTATTTTATGCCCAGAGATCAAGAGCGATAGAGAGAGAGAGATTTATATGGACAGATTGAGAGAGTGTATAATAGAAGGTGTAAGTGGCAGGTATATGAACCAACTGAGGGAGGGTGCAATATATATATATATAGAGAGAGATTTATGTGAATAAACTGAGAGATGGTGCAGTAAAGAGAGACAGCTATGTCCACAGACTGAGGTAGGATACAAGGGACAGAGAGAGAGAGAGAGATTTATATGGACAGATTGAGAGAGTTTATAATAGAGGGTGTTAGAAGCAGTTATATGAACCAACTGAGAGAGGGTACAATAGAGAGAGAGAGAGAGAGATTTATGTGAATAGACTGAGAGAGGGTGCAGTAGAGAGAGACGGCTATGTCCACAGACTGAGGTAGGACACAAGGGACAGAGAGAGAGAGAGAGAGAGATTTATATGGACAGATTGAGAGAGTGTATAATAGAGGGTGTTAGAGGCAGTTATATGAACCAACTGAGAGAGGGTGCAATAGAGAGAGAGAGAGAGATTTATGTGAATAGACTGAGAGAGGGTAAAGTAGAGAGAGACATATATGTCGGCAAACTCAGCTAGGATACAAGAGAGAGAGAGAGAGAGATATGTGAATAGATTGAGAGAGTGTATATAGAGAGAGGCAGCTATGTGAACCGACTGAGAAAGAGTGCAATGTAGATAGATAGAGGGGGCAATGGAGAGCCATTTTTTAACTATTTTTAAGCTGACGTTACATTGTCAGTCCTCAACTAATAATATACATCGTGTATCTGCATGGCCGGTGCTATGCATACTATGCAGTGACTCCAGATGAGGTTCGAGCCCCAAAAAGGGCTAGTTTCAGCAGTGTTCTTTTTTTTGGGGGGGGCGGTGTTTTTGTTTTTGCTTGCTTTTTGTACTTTTTACTTTTTTTTTCTACCTAAGATATATTGTCATTGATCAACTATAATAATCGACAGAGCCGGTGCTTACGACCCCTAACCTCTCAACTGCGTGGGTCACCATGCCTGCTGGGGAGGAGGGGAAAGAAGTGCTAATTTCCATAAGGCTTATTTTTTAAATTATAATTTTCTTTCTGAACGGTTCTTTTAAATCAGTTAAGAGGGTAATATATCTTGTAAAACCATTTTTTATTCCGAGATCATCCACTAAGGAGGATTACTGATTTTTTTCTTACTAACCGGAAGTCGACGGCTAGAAATTAAAATAAAATTTCCAGTTCCTATTTTTTACATTTCTAGAAAGATAAAACCGAGAAAATGATCACTTAAAAAAATAAAAGATTTTAAAACATTGTGACATAAACATTTTTCGAGTAAAATTTAGTCAGAAAAATATTGGTGGTTATGACAATAAAAATAACAATTTATCAGATTTTTTTAAATAAAAAAAAAACCTATTCATTATAAAAGTTAATAATTAGTGAATATGTATTGAAATGTTCATTTAAATTGGATAATTTCAGGATTTTTGGCAACTTAAAAAACGCTGAAACCCCCCCCCATCTCAATCCGTTTTCCTTCGAGGGTCTGTGGCCCGTAGGTTGGGAAATTTTACAATCGACACGTAGTAGAGAGGGAGCCCGTATCAAAGTTTCGGTTGGGGCGAGACCCTATCGCCGGCCCTGTAATAGACAATTGCCTAACAGATGAAGAAGTCACTTGAAGCAACAGAAATATGGTTCTGCAGAAGGATACTGAGAATCCCATGGATCGAAGGTGTGAGCAAGAACGAAGTTTTAGAGAAAATGGAAACAAAAAAGGACCTTTGTACGTGACATCAAAAAGTAACAGTTGAAATTTGTATTGCATAAGGAAAGAGGGCTTGGAAAAATTGATACTCAGAGGACAGATTAAAGGCAAGAGGGACAGAGGAAAACAACGCTTAACCTACTTAGTGAGTTTGAGTAAATGGATGGCGATACAGGGTTTAGGAGAGATGACAAAATGACAAAATTTATTAAGAGATACAAATAACAGGAAATTGTGAAGAGCCATGATCGCCAACGCCCTTAAGGGACACGGCTGATAGAAGAACATGTTTCTTGCCATATCTATTCATAAGTTACATTTATCAGCATCATTGATATGGAGACTGACGTTTTCAACACAATACACATTTATCGCATTGAATTGCGAGAACAAAAACAGTTACGCCAAAATTGTACAACAAGAGGAACTCTTTGCGAAAGAAGATAGAAAAACCATAAGTTTAGCATGAAAGAATGTGTTGAACTCGTTCTATTGTGTAAAGGATAAAAAATATCTATACGCATGCGCTGTCACCGTGACAACCTAACTGATGTCATGTTTTTCGTTATAATGTCTGAAGGACAACCGATGATAGAATTGTGAAGTGTATTGATGGTGGGAGAACAAAGCCAGAGATGAAAGAACGGACTGTGGGGGTGGAGGAAATTGAGAGAATGTGGCATCGGCACTCGTACATTAGTCGAAACTCTCCTTTGTAATTCTTGGCCATATTAGAAATATATTAGACGATAGAAATAGTTATGGCAATAACACATTTATGGCATATAAACCGCTTTTTAGAAAGCTTTTTTATCGGTATCACCTCATGCAAGGCAATAAAGCCACTAAGACCCAAGGGTTTGTAAGGTGTGAAAGAATTAGGAACAGAATCGTTAATAATGAGCGGAAAGATGAAAGAGTAATCAGAAGAACATGGCATTGCATTTAAACTTTTTGAATTGTCTGGAAATCATAGAGCCGGGAGGGAGTTCCACAAGCGAGTAGTGCGAGAAAAGAAATTGTTAGCATAGAATTTACGGTTACATCTTACACTGTAAATGGATGAGGTCTCGACGCCAGTCTGGTACTGCGCTTAAATTCAAAAAGTCTAGGTACCATAGCGAAGCGCTCATCTGAACAATTACCATGAAAGTATTTATAGAAAAGAGGCAGCCTTACGGCGGAGGGAAAGTGACTGAAGCCAAGCCGCCAGATCATGACCAATAATATTGTTGATTCTTCTTTGAATTTTTTCAAGGAGGTCAAGGTAAGTAGTAGGGCCACCGGACCATAAGTTGCAGCAATATTCTAAGCATGGACAAATAGTAGACATATAGATATCACACATTATGAAATGGACAAAGTCCGACAATTATTTTAAGACATTTTTATGTTTATACATTCTTATTATAGATACAAATATTTAAGTAAATGCTCTGTTTTTATAATAAACAATATTAAGCAACATTTACCGGCCTGATTGTCCGAGAATCTTTTATAGAAAATATTCGTCCTCCGACAGGAATCGGACCTGTATCCTATACGGAACCGTCATATAGCCTGACGTGCCTTAACCGATTTGGCCACAGAGGAGCGTTCGGTTAGCAAGGTCGATTTTACTGCTTTTAAACTACAATCTTCCATGATTCTCTCACGTACATTCATATCTGCTCAAAGCGTATCCAAATGTGAACAAATAACGTCACACATTATGAAATGGACAAAGTCCGACAATTATTTTAAGACATTTTTATGTTATTCATTCTTTTTATAGATACAAATATTTAAGTAAATGCTCTGTTTATAATAAACAGTATTAAGCAACATTTACCGGCCTGAATGACTGAGAAATTTTTATAGAAAATATTCGTCCTCCGACAGGAATCGAGCCTGTATCCTATACGGAACCGTCATATAGCCTGACGTGCCTAACCGATTGAGCCACAGAGGATCATTCGGTTGAGAGAACCATGAAGAGATAAATTGTGTCGCACGACACAGTGAACCAATTTTCTTAGCAGTTGACCTAGCAATGAATTCAATTATAGTCTTTCCGCCTGATGTCAACTGAGAACATTAGCCCGAGAAGGCACAACGAGTGACTTTTCCTGGAGGTTAGCCAAAGTGATGATGGAAGGCAGAGATGGGTCTCTCGGATGATTAATGGAGAAAAGTTCAATTTTGAAGGCGTTAAAATTAACACGCCATTATACATAGTAGCTGACCTTCCCGGAACTTGTTGCACAATAGATGCAATTTCTGTAACGGTAGCAACAGCTATAAAAAGAAGTGCGTCACGAAGCCCGTAAATTCATTAGGTTCGTAAGACCATCGCAATTAATGCAGCTATAGCTGCCGTGACATGTATAGGGTAAGATGAATGGTAGATATATATGTATGATAAATTCTGAAGAGAAAAATTGTCTCACACGACACAGTGAACCAATTTTCTTAGCAGCTGACCTAACAATGGATTCAATATAGTCTTTCCACTTTATGTCAGCTGAGAACGTTAGCCAGAGAAGCCGCAACGAGTCACTTTCCTGAAGGTTAGCATCTGCCATGCTAAAAATCCCTTCCATTCTATAAAATGAAGGTCGGTAAGCTCTGTTTCGTTGTTGATAGCCCATCGTGTTGGGCATTCGAGAATTAATTTTGTTGGTCCAAGAACTCTGCTAACGACCGCTAAATAGCGTTACCAAAAGCGGTATTTTAATACTATCGTTTATCCAATAACAGATTCAAGAGCCACTTAAGGTAGAGAGTTACCAAATGTGGCTATTTAAAAACGTACAAAGATGGATGCAAGAGCTGCATATTACGAGGATATATAAGATCGATAATGGTTGACCACAATCTAATAGTTCTGGAGAAGGCGCTGAGTGGAACTTCCTCCTTACTAAAGGAATATGAAGGGGATGAACATGAAACGAGTCATTGTATGTGAGCTGCCGGATCCAAGGTGTGAAGGCCTCGACTGCTGTAATAAAAGAATGAACATCTTCCATGAAAATAACGATAAATTAGCGAGAGGCTACCCACGTTTCGTCTATGAGAAAAGAGGTTGTAGGGTGGGAAACAATTCGTCGCCGACAAAGCTGCGTAAACGTTTTTACACTCTGTCCAGGCTGGAAAGTTAGGATTGTACAGCTTCAGCTCAAATATAGCTGCAATACTCCATTTTCGGCCTGATCTGTCTTTTTTAAGAGCAAGGGAGATGGAGTCAGCTCCTTTCTGTAACGGTATAATACGTATAAATGCACTGAATATCTCTAAAGTGCTGTATAATGCAATTGAAATAAATGATACGTTAAACTGAACAAAATTGTTTTTAATTTTGTACAGAATAATTTTATAAGTAAGCAATGTGCACCTTGCTTCTAAGGAACACACGTCACAATAGTGTTTAATATTTTTGCTGCAAATTCTCAAGACCAAAAAAGATTGTATAAATTCACTTTCCTTTTTATGTTTAGGTTTTATTACAGTCATCGCTTTTTAAAACAATAAACATTGCAGAGGGAGTGAAGATACTTAAAATAATAGCGGTGTCATGGGAAAAACCATCCTTTCGGGCGCTAAGGTCCATGTTTGCCAAAAGATTCTCATTCACCATCATAATCATTATCATCAGTCCCATGACCGGAAGTGGTCAGAGAGTCGCTGCGGAGATAAGCACCTAACCGGTTTACTTCCATCTTTTTCTTTTTATGTGCCATGTCCTTTCAGGCGATCATGGCTCTCCACTTCCCTCTATCCCTTACAACTCTCAGTAAGCTCCTTTCCTTTGCTTCCTCCTCCAGACCACGATCTGTCATCCATCTGCTCAAACTCGTCAGGTATGTCACGCGCTGCTTTTCACTTGTCTCTCTTTCCCTCTTTTTGAACCGTGAGTATCAGATTCTCCAGGCCCTTCATCTTCATTATCTGTCCCAGAAACTTCACCTGCCTCTTTCTGATGTTAAGTACAAGCCTTATGCTTATTTGTAACCTCTCTAAGACCTCATCGTTGCTTACACGCTAGGTCCATGATATCCTTAGCATCCTTCTGTAGAACCACATCTCCGTCGCCTCGTGTCTCTTCCTCATCCTTGAAGAAATCGTCCAACATTTGCTGTCGTAAAGAAGAACAGATGTCACATAATAACTCAGTATTCTTTTCTTTGTTACCAAAGAAATCCTCCTGTCTCGCAATACCCTGCTCAGCTTTAGGAATGCGCCGTTGGCCATCCCAATACGCCTACGGATCTCACTGTCGCACTTACCGTCCTCTATTGAGACGCTCCCAGATATTTCAACTTATGCGTCTGCTTGATTCTAGTGTTCCCGACCTGCAAATCGCATTTTGGTCTCTTCCTCTTACTGATTGTTTTAAATGCCTAAAAATGTAAGAGTTATCATTTAAATGTAGAGTCAAGCGCCGTGAAAGCGAGTTTGTGGTGTGACCAACATAAATATTATTTAATCCATTGGAGATACAATCTCCCAAAGGGCACTTGAATTTGTAAACTATATTGGTTTTTTGCAAATTCATTAATTATTTATGTTGGTCACACCACAAACCCGCTTTCACAGCGCTTGACTCTACATTTAAATGATAGCTCTAACATTTTTATGCATTTAAAACAACATGCCTGGCCGCGTACACAATTCCGGAAAATCCTTGTTGACAACACAACTATACTTAAACATGAAAACAATAAACAAAAATTAAAAATCCTTGAAGCTTTTTTTACAGTTGAAACCTAACCTGAATAAAATAAACTATGAAATCTCCACAAATATTCTTATTGCCTATAATTTATAACAGAAGCCATTGGTTTATACCAACAGCTTCCCATACTTAATACTTCGTGTTTTCACTCTCGCGTGGTCATGTTTGACGTCACGAGCTGCGACGCGATTTTCGCTTCCGCGTCTTGTATACACGGGTTTGTCGTTGCTTTGAAATTTTTCATGCAGCAAGGGCGGACTATCATTAATGTTTCGTCCGTGTGTTGTTTGATATATTGAAATTATCATCTTTGATAATGGCTTATGTAAGCCGAAAGCTTAGATTGGATTTAAACATGTATCAATATGGTGTTTTCCTTTCGTCTTTCAACGATAATGTGATTAAGCTTATCAGACAATATGAAAGGAACTTACTTAAAATAAATAGACAAAACTTGTCTATATTATTTAATGAAACATGCATTAATGAAAAATTGCTGCCTAAATATATATATATATATATATAGAGAGAGAGAGAGAGAGAGAGAGAGAATATTTCAAATGTTACCAAGATGCAGACAAAGGAATTCTACCTACCACACAGACACCACATTGGTTTTGATAGAGCTGATTATTTGAACAAAACAATGGCACAACATGTGCTTCGAACAGTTTATGCCTAATTCTGCCGAAAAAAAAATGGAAATATCCAATAAAAATATTAAACACACAGACTTTGTTGGTCCCTTTTAATCAAACTTGTTTGGCTGAATGCTTGCTGCTGAATATACCTTTTTAATTCCTTCGACATGTGCGTCTATATGCACACACACACGTATATATATATATACATATATATATATATATATATATATATATATATATATATATATATACATATACAGTAGGCAATCGATATTAAATTTATCCAAATGTGTAAAACACATGCACATGAAAAAAAAACTTGGCA